ACACAAGTGTCCTACATTAATAATACAAAGTTATTATGGCTGTGTGTACCTTGTGTGCACCGCCTAGCACACAAGCACGTTATTGAATTATTTTTGTTGAATAATGTTATTTTTGTTGAATAAAGTTAGTTGATGAAACAAATATTAAGAGTACATACAAAATAGGGGGAATGTAGAAGGTCAATGATAGAAATATAGAATATAAAAAATCAAGAAGATACTGTAGTGATCTCTCCAATAAAACAGTTTAGTGCCGGACAAAGATATTAATAGGAAGATGTGCAAAACAGACAAACTAATTAACCTTTATTTAAACATTAAAGAATACCTCTGGAGTCGGTGCGCATAATTTTACGTAATGAATTATATATTTTCGATTATAAGGAGTAGAAATATGATTCAGATATCCGCGGAATCGCTGGAAGAGTAGCTTTCCAGCGGTATCTCCTGTGAGACTGTAACCAGGGCACAGCAGCCAATATGGCCGCTCAAAGCAGCTTGACTTTACACTGTGTGGGATTGGTGGATTTGTGTGTCCGTCAAGGAAATCTCGGCCGGCAGCCATCATGGTCTGAAATGACCAATGGACATCAAGAAATCACTAAGGGCCTACCCACCAATTAAAAAAACCATAAACCACGTGTCTCCCATCAGTTTACGTCTGTGAGGAAAGAGAGAGACAGAGAAAATGGCTAAAAAAAACGTTACAGTTGCTGACTTCGCTAGAGATTTTTTTCGCTAGCAGCAGTGAAGATAGAGCTAGTGATGGCAAAATGAAGCTTTGAATGAAGCATCGAACCACTTGGACAATTGTGTCGGAAATAGGTTCATTTCTCGAAGCTTCAGTTACAGCGACCTCTCCTGGCGAAGTGCAAGGCTGCAGTGGGTTCAACGTATCTTTGCCTTGAAAAATATTCGATACACACACTAAGACTGAATATCATGTTCTATTTGCAATTAAAGATTGATAATTGTGTGTATTGGGTTATTGAGAAGAGACTAGAGAGTGCTGGACATTTTTTTGGGAGTAGAGGGCCTTTTATCAGTTATTAAAGTTGAAAACCAATGATTAAAATACATCCATTCCGGGCTTTGAACCAGCTGCGCGGAGGACATGCCGCTTTCCGGTCGCCGGCTCTACCCACTGGGCTATTTATTCCTTGAAATATTGAACTGTTTTTATATTACTGATAATTGTCTTTTTGTTCACAACTTCTCCACATTTCGAAGTGTTTCCCAAGCCAGAACGACCTATATTTCTTCCTGGCTTGCTCTATAATGATACTACAATTCAAATGCAATACCAACAACAACTCAACAGCAACAACGCAAACTACGACAACAACCCACACATTGCGCATTGTTTAGAGCGGTCATAAAGTGTTGAAGCGCTCAAATTTGAAACTGTTTCAACCTGTCACCTGTCAGAATCGAGACGAGGCAGTGCATTGAATCGCGTGAATGGACCGCGAACCAGTCAAGTGATTCATTCAGGAAATGAAGCAGTTGCTGCTTCGGACGTCACATGTCACGTGATTTGAAGCAATTGCTGCTTCGGAAGTCATATGCCACGTGATTTGAAGCAAGCTTCGAAGCACTGCTTCTATGGAATAGGAAGTCCAGGGTTGAAGCTCCGTTCGAAGCTTCAGTGTCAAACTGCCATCACTAGATAGAGCCTCAGAACCTGAAGTCTTCGACTCTTCTGAAGAAGAATAATACAAAGACAACAACAAGGATCCATTTGGACATGGGTAAGTGTAAATATTACAGTAATAGTGTACTGGCAATGTGTGGGGAATACCGCAAAAATGAACAATAGGTTTATTGATATATATTTTTTTTATCGATAGTCATGAACTTTTTATTGGGACAAAATAGACTCTCCATTAGCAAACGTTTACTCTGTGATAATGTTATTTTGGTAGGGAAAACTACTTGGTTAGATTTAGTATAACACCATGTGTAAAAGTGAGATTACATGTGTAGATGATTAAATTAATCATTTATTCGTCCCACAACGGAGACATTTACAGTGACATGTTTTTGCCATCGATTATTTTATCATACTGTTCTGTACCGATGAGACTTTGTCATAGATTTATTGATGTGTGCCTGTTATTATTTTACCGTCCTGTACAGATGAGACTTTGTAATCAGATGTAGCCTATGTATATGTGTGTCTGTGATTTTATACTGAATGTAAAGTAACTGGAAATACCTGTGTTTGTGTGTGTGAGAGAGAGAGAGATCGAGAGAGACTCCTTCTCCAACCTCCCAAACTTTCTTTTTATGTGTGCATTGTTATTTGTGCTTGAGCAACATTTTACTTGAACTTTATTTCAATGAAATTAGTTGTAATTATTGTCCTACATTTTAATTTGTTTTACAGAGATGTTTCACAGCTGTCTGGGCCTAGTGGCCCACAGGCGGCGTTTATCCAGCAGCCAGAACATCCATCTGTGCCGGCCCCCAGGTCAAGATCTACTGTGGCTCAAGGGCCTTCACCAGAGCCATCACCACCAAGGACCAGCAGACCAGCATCACTACAGCTGCCTCCACCTCCATCTGCGGCTGCCACCAGGTCAAGATACACCTCAGCACAAAGGCTCCACCACAGCCATCAACTTCAACCCAGCCAGCAAGGAGGTCTCATGGAGGTCTCGTATAGCACTTGTACACCCCACCTACACAGCAGCCATGCACCATCACCCCCATCTTCACAGCAGCCAGACCCACTGTCTTGGAAGACAGACAAAGACCTTGACACTCTCTCGACATTTATAATGAATAGTTGGTTGAAAGTTATGATGTTCAATATTGTAAATAGTTAGATTTTCCAGTTTCTTATATTTATATAAATAGTTGGTTGAAAAAAACATATTTATAATAAATTGTTGGTTGAAAAAAAAAGGTTGAATGCTCAATTTGTATTTGTACACATCACATGAACCTTGGTATGTAATATGAAGTCATTATTCAGTCCTAATGTATCTCAGTCCCTGCTGTGGTGAAAGTAGAGTGATAAACACCTATTTTACTCAAAATTCGAATTTAATTTTTTTCATTTTATACATGAATAACACATTTATATACAGTGTAATTCAAATATTTCACTGCTTTGGTAACCAAATCTTAAACACCAAAACAATTTGATCACATGAGTAACTTTGTGTTTTCACAAGAGTTTTGAAGATTTTCCGAAAATCGGATGTCCAATTTTAAGCTTTTGAGCTACTTATCTAATCAAACAGTGCTCCAAGGTGAGTAATATGCATATATAGCAAGACCAGAGATTTTCCTGAACATTTTGATATGTAACACATGAGGGTGCCATGTTAGAAGAAATACATTTAAAAAGGTGATTTAAGAAAACATCTAAAAATCGAGAAAATACCCTTAGACTCCAGAGGGTTAAGGTCTTCTTTTAAATAACAAAAAAGCTTTGGGGGTATCTACAGATAAATATTAAGCCTGACAAAGTACTTAACGTCTAATATATTGCTTTCCTGCAATGTTAACTATGTTGAAGCACTTATTTTAACTGATATTATACATATTAATTATACTCGTATAAGATGTATGTAGATAGTATAAGAAATGTGCAGAATATGACAGTTTAATGGCGGAGGTATACACACATATTGATAGATGTCTTGTAATGCATTGTTGAGGAACCTGCGACCCTAGTTTTTCAGTCATTGCATAACTACACCGTAGTTGTGTATATGATATGTCAATAAACCTTAGAAAATCTTGAAAGGGATGTGCAAAATAGCCATTATATACAGTCTTTAATTAACTATTAGTAGAGAATAACGAGTAATGAATATACATTATAGGGATCTGCAGATAAATGTTTAGTCTTCTCAAGCACCAACAATCAAATATCTCTCCTGATTGTTGGCATTTGACAATCACCTTCCCTGAATTTTACTCAGGTGTAACTAAAGCCTGATTTAAGGGTTGTTTATATTTCACATCATTAATCAGAATCTGCAAAGTAACTAAAATAAATGTAGTGGAGTAAAAATACCAGGTTAACCTCTGAATTGTAGTGGAGTAGAATTACAAAGTAACAATGAGCTGTCATGTGGGTATATATTAATGCTGCGCATTATGGACACAAGCGATTTTCACCCATTTATTAATTATATGTTTTACATTTGTACACACCAATTTGTTTCCTATCGCCTAAACCTCCAGGGGTGTACACAGTTTAATACAGTCAACTTCTAATTTGGGGAAAAACGAAAACGTCTTTTAAAACTTCAATTCCCAGTAGAGACGTGCCATAGAACATGTTGCGAAACACAATAGCCAGCATGTGTAGTTCTGGGGGGGGCGTTCCAGTCCAGTTTTGGATAGTCTGCCGTGGTTTTGTTCGATTTCAAAGAGCTGTTTGACGCTCGGCGTAACCTTGGCGCACTGCCACTTCAACATCCAATCCCAGAGCTTGAAGATTAATCACGGGGACTGTAGTCCCAAACGATAGCTGGGGATTATGGGTAGTGTAGTGTCTTCGGCCATCCTAAACTTCAAAATATTTTTCGTATTTCATATCGCATTAACACCATATCCCAACGTACATTGCGGCTAAAACATCCAATCACCGAGCTTAAACCATAGCTGAGGATCTTGGGTAATCAGTTCAGTGGCTGTGTATCGCAATGATGCTCGTAATGTCCCATATAGGCCTACGTCTGTTTCCGGTTATTTTTATTTTTGAAATTCAGTTCCTGACGGACGCCAAAAAAGCCCGAGATTATGAAATCAAACAAATAAATAAAAACAAGGATAATTGTGTGTTATTGTTGAGTAAATAACAGTGTGTTATTTAGAAAAGAATAACAAATTAGAAGGAAAAAAAGATTTAAAAAAATACAGATTTCAGTATTCTGAGGCTCTGAGCCCCATTTATTTTCCTCACAGACGACAAAAAAAGTCCAACATTATACGATTTAAAATAAAAACAATAACAAAAACAATCTCCAGCAGTGGAGATGGAGCATCAGAACCTGATGGCTTCTACTCTTCTGAAGAAGAAGAATACAGCAACAAGGATCCATTTGAAGATAGGTAAGTGTAAATGTTACAGTAATAGTGTACTTGCGCTGTGTGTGTGTGTGTGTGTGTGTGTGTGTGTGTGTTGGTGTGTGTGTGGTGTGTGTGTGTGTGGTGTGTGTGTGTGTGTGTGGTGTGTGTGTGTGTGTGTGTGTGTGTGTTTGTGGTGTGTGTGTGGTTGTGTGTGTGTGTGTGTGTGTGTTGTTGTGGTGTGTGGTGTGTGTGTGTGGGTGTGTGTGTGTGTGTGTGTGTGTGTGTGTGTGCCTGTCCCACCTCACCATTTTTTTTTAGTTGTGCATTGTTATTTGTGCTTGAGTAACATTCCACTTGGACTTTATTTTAATGAAAAATAAAGTATTATTGTCCTAAATGTTTACAGATTTCCCAGCTGGCCCACAGGCGGCGTTTATCCAGCTGCCTACACCTCCATCAGTGACTGCCCCAGGTCCAGATCTACCGTGGCTCAAAGGCCTTCACCATAGCCATCACCACCAAGGACCAGAGGACCAGAGGACCAGCATCACTACAGCTGCCTCCACCTCCATCTGTGCCTGCACCCAGGTCAAGATCTACCGTGGCTCAAGGGCCTTCACCACCAAGGACCAGAGGACCAGAGGACCGGCATCACTACAGCGGCCTCCATCTCCATCTGTGCCTACCACAAGATTAAGATACACCTCGGTACAAAGGCCTCCACCACAGCCATCACGATCAACCCAGCCAGCAAAGAAGTCTCGCCTAGCACACGTACCTCCCACACAGCCACCAGCATCAACCCAGGACAATCACACCTACCTCCCTCCAACACACCACCAGCAGCCCATGCACCATCACCCCCACCTACACAGCAGCCAGACCCACTGTCTTGGAAGACAGACAAAGACGATGACACTGCCCCCCTATCTTTACATTTATAATGAATAGTTGGTTGAAAAAGTTCTGATATTGTCAATATTGAGATTTTACAGTTTCTTATGTTAACATAAATAGTTGGTTGAACAAAAAGTTGTAATGCTCAATTTGTATTTGTACACATCACATGAACCTTGGTATGGAATATGAAATCATGAATCAGTCCTGATGTAACTTTTCTGTGGTGAAAGTAGAGTGATAGAACAATTTTACTCAAAATTCTAATTTTCACATTTTTATTTTAGACATGAATAACACATTTATATAGGCCTATAGTGTAATTCATATATGTCACTACTTTTGTGAACCAAAGACTTTGGTAAACCAAATCTGAAACACCAAAAAAATGGATGACATGAGTAAATCTGTGTTTTCACAAGAGATTTGAAGTTTTCCAAAATTCGGATTTCTCATTTTCAGCTAGGTATCTCATAAGACAGTGCTCTAAGGTGAGTGACTTGCATTTCTAAGACCAGAGACTGTCCTGAACATTTTTGATATATAACACATGGGGTGCCATGTTATAAGAAGTACATTTAAAAGTTGATTTAAGGAGACATCTACAAATCAAGAAAATACCCTTCACTTCACACTCCAGAGGGTTAAGGAAAAGGGTAAGGCGATTTTATTTTAAAAGACAATGAAGGCAGGTTATTCTTTCACACACAGTGACGTCACGAGCTACCCACAATGCAACGCGCGCCATATATATATATATATAAATACGCCATTTTCCTGGAGGTGCAAATATCCTGGAGGTCCAAATATAAACAGCTAGCTAACGTAGCCAGGCGCACTAGGTTTTTTTTCTGAATTAACGACCAAAGAAATCGCTGCATGTCTTCGGATTACATCTCTGGACTTGAGGGGTGTGCTCTAGGTCGTTACCAGCGTAAACTAGAGCTGTATGGGTTGTCGGATTGCCCTTACAGACTGCCTGCAGATGTAGGGAAAAACGACCCTCGAAAGTGGCCTTCGTCGATTTTGGCAGCATCTACATCTAATTTCTGGAAACACCAAGTGAATACCCCACTTGTCACAATAATATTATCATGCCATTGCATATATGTGGTATTTTAGAGTTGACTAGATATTGATTAAGGCAATAGGCTACATGCACTAGGGTCTGAGATGTACTTCCGCCTTAGCCGTTATACTGCTCGGACGCTTCCGGGTTGCTTCTGGTCTGCGTAGCTGAGCGTCCACAAATGTTTTACTGTTTAAATCTGTGGTTTAAATATGAGTCGACGGAAGATTTTCAAAACGGAGCATTTGCAAAGACAAGTAAAGAACTACTCCGAGCACTGCTGTGTCCCACTTTGTACGGCGTCAGCTAAATTCAACGGCGTCCTAAGTTTCCATGGCTTTCCGACCGAACTCGAGCTGCGAAGACAGTGGCTGGTTAAAATACGACGCGATAACTTTACAATCTCCTCTCACTCCAAGGTGATGGCCGTAGGAGGCTTGTGAAAGGTGTTGTCCCAACTCTGTTTGAGTGGAATCACTTCACTGCTCAAACACCGCGGGCTAGTGTTTGGGAGAGAAGGGAGCGGCCCACTGAACCAGTCTCTCGGGAGGAGCAGGAAGAGCACATCGATGTCCGTGACCATGATTACTGCTCAACCCCTGAACCAGCTTCACTGGACATGTCCTCTCAAGCTACAGAAGACAACTCCAAAACAGTGGAGGATCTGCAGAAGCAACTGCAGGAGTTAAGAGTCCAGCGAGAGTTTTGCTTACAGCGGTTTGCTGGCTCCGACGACAACATCCGATTCTATACCAGGTAATGTTTTGGCTAAATTCTATCCAAGTTTTTGAGATGGGTTAGCTTATAAAGAATTCTGTTTACCTGCCGTTTGACTGCTGACTATTTGCATGCAGTGTTGGAATAAGTAGGCTACTCAACTTAATTGAAGTATAAGTACAAATACTATGGTTTGAAAATACTCCTGAACTGAACATGTAGAATCATAAATCATGTGTTTTCATAAGTAACTAGAAACTATGAAGGTTAACTAAATGTGGTGGAGTAAAACATACTAATACTAACAACATACTGATAATACTTTACTACAAGTGGAAATCTTCAAAACCTTACCAAAGTAAAAGTACATGTCAATATCCACTGCGTTTCTCCCAGTTGCACACTTAAGAATGAAGAGTAAAAGTAGTCATTCTGTGTAAAATGTTCCCTGTATGTTTTAGATTATTATTACTGCTGCTTTAATGTAGTTGTTACATGTTACTGCTGTATATTACTATACCTGCACCAAGTGCCTTCTTAATCAGTCTATTTGAATTGTAATGTATTATAGCAAACAAGAGGAAAGCATTAGCCCATGTGTTACAGTTAACGAGTCAATTAATGACTGACATGTGTCTTTTGTGTACAGATTCCCGAGCTATAACCACCTGATGGCCTTCTGGTTTTTGATTGAGCCTTCCATTTATAAAATGGTTCGTGTTACAAGAGCGATATCAGCTGCCAAGAGGAATGAAGAAGTGGTTACACACGCACGTCCATCAACGGTAGGCTACGTTTCTTTTAACACACAATCTAAACACAAACTGAAGGGAAAATGTTTCTCCGACATTTCATTGCTTTCGTGTAGGCTAAAAGGCTATAGTACTCAATCCTTTTTGAATACATCAGAGAACTAAAACAACTTAATGTGTTTCCCATGGTGTGCTACACTCATGACAATATAGTACCCTTTTTTTGTTTATCTTCCAGAGACAGCTGCTTCAGCCAATTGACGAGTTCTTCCTTTTTCTCTGCTTCCTGTCGGTGGGTTTGAAAGAGAGGGACCTTGCAAACCGCTTCAACGTACACCAGTCCACTGTGAGCCGCATCATTGCAACATGGACGAGTTTTCTTACAACTTTATTGGGGTCACAGTGCATCTGGCTTACACCTGCAGAAGTTCAAGCCCACCTCCCAGAGGCATTCAAAGATTTCCCAGACACACAGGTGATCCTGGATTGCACAGAGCTGAGGTGTCAAACACCATCCTCACTCCTCCTCCAAAGTGAAATGTATTCTACATACAAATCTCACTGCACCATGAAAGCCCTGGTTGGCATAGCCCCACATGGCGCAGTGACATTTGTTTCCAGTCTGTATGGTGGTTCTGTCAGCGACAAGGAGATTTTCAAACAATCTGGAATAGCTGCGTTGTTGACTGAAAACATGGCAGTGATGGTAAATAAGGGCTTCCTGATCAGCGATTGCTGCAAATGCAAGGTGTACTGCCCACCTTTTCTGTCAAAGCAGAAGCAAATGCCAGCCTATCAGGTGAGGGAGACACGGGCCATTGCCAGACTGAGGGTTCATGTGGAGCGTGTCATTAGGAGGATAAAAGAGAACAAACTTTTTGATGGTGTCATCCTCCTGTCCCATGCCTACAACATCAACCAACTGTTTGCAGTAGCATGTATGCTGTCAAACTATCAGAACAAAGCACTGGTCAAGAAATGGGTGAAATAAGACAAGATGATGACACCTGTGCAGGTAGCTGTGATTAAGCTGGGTGAGCACACCGTAATCCCGTGTTGCCTGACACACGCTAATGTTTTGTTTGAATAAATGGTAAATAGCAAATTACAATGCGTTGATTTCTTACAAATGCAATGATTTACTATTCATTACACAAATCACTTCACTTTATTGTCTTTTTAAATACAATTGTATATTTATTTACATATATGAAATGTGACAAACAATATATATCAAAAACAAAATATTGAAATCACATTTTGTTGTCATTCAGAACACATGATTGAGGGATTGCCTCCTAAAAACAATGATGGGTGATCCAGGGTCCAGCAGCTAACTGCTTACAGAGTTAACAATAGCTACAGTGCCCACTACTTTTTTAATGACAGGTACTTCGGCATGTATGTGTAAAAAAAAAAAAAAGTCTACTTTTTCTCTGATTGCTCTTTGCACTTCTGGATCTGTGTATATTCTTTGCACCAGGTAGTCCTCTTGTGCCCACACTACAAAATCACACCACTGCATCCCAGATACAAAAAGTTGACCCTGTACTTGCCAGTAATAGGCATGGCTTTTCTTGAGCTTAGGGGAGCCACATTCCATCTGCACATATTTGCAGTCGACATAATTTGGGACATTGGGACATTTGAATTCAACAAGGCCAAATTGGGGATATTCTGTTGGGTCAAAAACAACTCCGTCAGGGGAGGCACCAAGCCAGGGCGTAGAGGGGTGAATGACAAGGCCACAAGGGGAGTAGTTCACGTTTGCCAGTCTACTGTATTCAGCTGCTACTGTGGGCTCCATCTCGGCACCTCTCCTCATTTCTGCAGTCTGCCTTGTACCTTTGAGTATTTGCTCTGCAAGAGAGTTAGCAGAGCTCTCACCTCTGACGTGACAAATCTCTCTAAACCTAGAGGCAGTAACCCTGGGTTTGCGGAGCAGATGCCACTCTGAGCTAGAGCTTTGCTCACGGGTAGCCTCCTCAATTTTGTGAGACATTTCCAAATCAACAGATAAGCTGTTCATATGTAGTTGCTCCTCTTCTGAGCACACCAGCGGTAAATCACATTGCAAGATCACATACCCCTCTATGGGCAAGTGGGGTGTTGGTGGTGTGTCAGTGTGAAGTGTGGTGTACCGAGACGTCAAAGCAGGCATCTGATAGGACAGAACACTGCCCTCCTGCACAATCCCGAAGGCACTTTCCACAAGGGGCTTGTCAGGTCTCATGTTCATTGTGGTCACAAGCGGCCTGTCTTCAATGCTGAATGCTGAGTATGCCTCCGTAACTCTGAACAGGCAGGGATCTGGTAATGGCCCCACCATGCCTCTGTAGAATCCACTCCTACAAAGAATGGCAAAGACAATATAGCACATTAATGTGACAATAAAGGTTAGGAATACAGCACCAGAATTATGAATTTTAAAAACACAGGAAACACAATTTTCCAGCTAAAATTACCTTACTCCAGTCTGCACCATCCTATTTGGTACAGGCTTGGTGAAGACCATGGAGTTGATGGGCCCTGGCTTCACACCCTTAAGGAAAAGACAATTACTGTTTGTTGAGTCACTTTAAAACAAAAACTCTGTGAAAGATTACAAGTATTTGAACCTCATTGAAATTACCATTGTTCGCGGCTTGTGCCATTGCTGTTCCGATTCAGTACAACTATGCACAGGTGGCACAACTGGCATGTTCAGTTCAGTGTAGTGTGCTGTTTGGAACAGCAATGCTACTGTGTGATTGCACAAAACAGTTCCTGCAACACAGGAGCACAGGTTGTGCGTGAGCACCACTGGTGATGAATCACGAAGCGTTATCTAAAAAAGAGAGAAGAAATACTAGTGATTAGTAACCTCACTTGTTACTATGAGCCAGGAGGTTATTATGAGTAGAATTATTGGTTATTTTTACTGACCCATTATCCTAGAAGAAGCATGTATTCCTGAATGCTTAGTGTTATCCTCTTACCCTACAATACCACAATGAACTTTCTTTGGAAACTAAGATGCCTTGAAAATTGTATTAAAGCAGTTTTGACTATATATTTGAACCCCCAAACTTACACATCCATAATCAATGTAATAATATCTGACCAATCAGCTGTGATAAAGCAGGGAGAAGTAGGACACTGTTGAGATTCCCTTAAGGTAAACTAATGTTTAACTGAACTGAAACTCAATAAACAGGGGGGTAACAGTGTCAATGCTGCCTGCCTACACTCAAACTGTGTGCTGTCTCGCTCTTCCGCATTGACCTGTAGCACAAGGCTCTCACGCTGACCTGCCCTGTCAGCCTGTCTTTATTGGACACTGAATGAAGAAAAACAGAGCATCAGCGTTAGATCTATACTCACGTCAAAACATCTATGGCAACATTGCTTTACAAAAGCTGATACCATTATGCAGTGTGGCTAACAACAAGACAACCTTGGCTAGGCTATAAGGCTATAAAACGATAGTATTTGTTAGCAAAATGGCTAATGTTTTAAAGAATTAACACCAGAAACAGTACATAGCGTTACCCAGAGCCCTATAGTAGTCTACTATAGTAGTAGTATAATAATAATAATAATAATAGTAGTTATACTATAGGGCTCTGGCATTACCTAGCTTTTGACAGCTAATGTTAGCGTAACCCGGAGCATAAGCTAGCTGGTTAGTACCGGTTACCTTCTTACCTTCATAGTTGTGTATATATGACGCAGCATATAATTTTAAGCCTTTATCGAGTTTGCTGGCTGGGGCTTTAGTCATCCGGCAAATCCGATGAACATCTGACATTTTTAATTTCGGAAGCTCTTGTAGGCAGCGGGTGTAGAAGGTCGTCATTTTCAAACAGGAAATGAATCGGCCGCTATGAGTAGAATGCGGAAGTGACTGTGCATGTAGCCTATAGACTATGATATTCAGTACAGGAAGCTTAGCAACACCTAGACGGTGTACGGCTAAAACCTCTGCCTGCTTGCACCTCGCGTAAAATGGCGGATACTGGAAGTACGGTGTCGCCCTCGGCCCAATACCCGTATGTGTGTGTGAAAGAATATTGATATATTGATTGATATATTGAATATATTCAAAGGCAAATTATTAATACTTACCCCCTAATCCCACCAGGAGCATCTGCGTTGCGCTGCGTTGCGCTGCGTTGCGCTGCGTTGCGGCTGCTGCGTTTTTAGCGATCCCGGCCACTCTAGTCAATGGGTGCTATTCCACCAGACCCGCTGCGCCGCGGCTCGAAGCGTCCCAGAAGCTCCTCGCCGCAAGGAATTTCTAAAATATAGGATGAATCCTATTTTTGACGCGGCGCAGCGCGGCGCAGCGCGGCGCAGCGCGGTGCAGCGAGGAAGTGGAACGTTCATCCAACAACTGCGAGGCTGCACACACGACGCTCCGCTTCCGCAACGTTTTGAAACGCGCCTGGTGGGTTATGACACAGGAGGAGGTCGCAGCGCGGCGCAGCCGCAGCGCAGACGCTTCCGGTGGGATCAGGGGGTTAGTCCCCTGAATCTGGAATAATGTACAATTCACAGCACAGCCTCACAATGTCAGGAACTTTTCATCGACAGATTGCTTTGGTCTGGCTTTACTCTTCACTGATTGGTTACAGAAACTTTGACCTTATTGGCTATGGAAATCAGAAGGAGGGGCCTATTATCATATAAAAAAACTGCACGAACATTTGCGTGTATATTCGCGTGTATGTTCGCGCGTATTTTTGCGGAGGTTTGCCTCCGTTTTTACAAAAAAACGGCCGAAATAAACGAGCGAATTATGGCACTTTTGGCCTTCCATAGATGCGCTCTGCTCACATGACGTTACCCAGCATTCTGCGGGTCTCTGTCAGAAACATCAAGGAAGAGGAGGATGCGTGTCGGTGAGTGAAGTCTATCAAAAACAACGCACAAACATACATATATAAGTCGTGTTACGCACATTCATGGCGGTTTGTGGTGGTCGCTAGATATTAGGAAACAAACATGAAGCTATGTCGTTGTATTTTAACGTTTTTACACTGCTGTAAAAAGGTAGAGCAACAAGGTGTACGACTGTTTGAACTCGTCCAACTTGTGTTGGTGAAGTTATGTGTCACCGGCTGTAGCTAACATGGGCTCGGTAACTTGCTAAAATAGTGAATAATTAAACAGTGACGTTTGTGTAAAGGACTGTAGAGAAGCTAGCGAAAGAAGCCTGAAAATGCTCCCAAAGCTAAAGTGAAGCGTTTTACCAGCATGAGAAGCTGATATCTGTGGAGCTGGAAACTGATCCCTGTGTCGGACAGTAACAGAGGAGAGCCTGTTGACAGTTTACGTCACCATCAGCTGTTTTTGGTTAAACGTCTCTGAGCTTTGAAGGGTTTGCTGAAGGACAACCATGTTTTTTTATGTAGGGCAAATGGTGAGATTCAGGATGGGAACAAAAGGAATCAAGTAGCCTACTGAGTTATGCAAAACAGAAAGCTCAAAACTCGTGGACTGACTAAGTAATGACTAAGTATTAAAAAGACAATAATATTCTTAATTACTGTTAAGTCTATTATGTTATGTTACTCTTTTAATTTGTAATTAAGGCCAAAGCCTGATATAACCTATTCCTCAGAAACTGAAATCAAAACTGGAACTCATGGACTTTGTAACTAAAAATGAAACCAGTCTATTATAATGTATTTGATTTAAACAGACAAACATTTGGTGTCTTTTTTTAAGCATGACTTTAATATTCTTCATATCCAGTATTTTTAAATGTTACTGTTTTCAGGGCAAGAAGTTGATGGAAATATGATCAAGAGAACATAATTATACTTCTAGCTGTGTGGAAAACTCTTTGAGACGACATTTACATAAACACATAGTGAGACAAACTATTCAATTAACGGAACATTTTTAGAAATGATACTATTTATTTGGTGTTTAGTATTCTGATTACAGCCTAGCCTGTGCTCCAATGCTGTTTAATGTGTGCTGACAGCAGCACAATAGAGACCTTTTGCTTGTCATAAAATGTGCATTGCGCTGCACATTATGTCTTCTCATTTACGTGATGGCTTTAATGTAGCTTGATAACATGTAGGACTAATGTCATCCCAAATATGTAGTCCG